GACAGAATGGCGTCACGAACCAGGCCTGTGTGACAGAATGGCGTCACGAACCAGGCCTGTGTGACAGAATGGCGTCACGAACCATTTTATATGAGTTAATCATTTTCAGAGTCAGAGATCCCAACAGAAACAGTATATGTGGCACAAAACGACTCATCGATTTAGGCAGAAGGACCGGCTGAATAGCGGACTCAGAACGGCTCAAGTAATTTTCTTGTTTTCACCAAACTGTTTTTCTCAGAACAGAAGTGTTAAAAGTATGAGATCAATGGGATCACCGCTGCTTGCTCTATCAGTTCTGCCCAGAAATACTGATGGGTCCCTGCAACTCGTTCTGCGGGACAGAGGTCTGAARAAGCCAAATTTGTAGTTATTTTTGATTATTTATACTTTACTGGAGTAATTATTTTTTCAGACGACTTTTTATATCTACACCTTGTTTTTTTAAAAATAGCCTCATATTTCATTTCATTTAACAACTTCTCTCTCCAGTCCTTTTGAGGAAATGGATTTTTGGATCTTTATAAGCTTCACAGGGATGATACGGTTCTTAAAAGTGGTTGGACTAAATTTTTGGAAGTAACCTCTGACGAAAAAAGTTATATATGTGCAAGCCACTTTACCACAAATATTGTTTAAGGTTTTCTCAATAAAATGACATCAACAATTTCTCATTAGAATAAATAAAACAGACCAAATATCTTTGGGAAGACAAATTAAGACAAATTTCTGGAACCATGATGATCCAGGTATCAAAATGTATTTTTAAATGCAGAAACCTGACAATTTGCTGAGGTTATTTTGATCATATTTGACTTAATCCTCTGTTTAGTGTGATGAATCTATACAGCTGAAGCAAAAGCATCCCCAAATTTTAACATTAACATTTAATATAAGATTATATTCATTATTMCCCTCTGAATAAATCTCATTTTGGAACTTAACTTTTACTCATTACTTTTACTTTTACATTTGATACTTAATATCAGATACTTTAAGACTTGTACTTAAGCTATATTGTTAGAGGAGACTGGGAGGTGAAAATTAAAACAAATAAATAAATAAAAACTTACATCCAGCTTGTTGAAGCTTGTTCTCCCTCTGAAATTCACATTCACAACAAAATGAGCATTTCCTGAAATAATGTATTTTGGCTGCTTTTTGGGAGCTGGTGTTTTTAACAACGARCTTGTTGTATCAGTTTGCTCATACGTGATGGAAATGACTCTCAACTACAAACAACAAATTTGATCTCAATATTTGTAAAATTCACTGGGTTCGACATTTTTAACAGAGACTCAAARGACTGGTTCTCACCTAACCAGTGTTATATTTTTATTATTTGTTCTGGATTAAAACATTCAGTGTGTAAAGAGAGAAGTGTTTCCTACAGAAGAGGATTAGGGCCACTGGAAAAAAAAGGAATTCTGACTTTAATCTCAGAATTCTGACTTTTTTCTCAGAATTCTGACTTTAATCTCAGAATTCTGACTTTTTTCTCAGAATTCTGACTTTAATCTCAGAATTCTGACTTTAATCTCAGAATTCTGACTTTTTTCTCAGAATTCTGACTTTAGTCTCAGAATTCTGACTTTTTTCTCAGAATTCTGACTTTAATCTGACTTTAATCTGACTTTAATCTCAGAATTCTTACTTAAAGTCAGAAGTCCCTTTCAGGCAGATGGACACCAGAGAGCAACAAGCTTTAGAACCACCGATGCTTGTGGTGCAGAATTCAGAATTCTGAGAAAAAAGTCAGAATTCTGAGATTAAAGTCAGAATTCTGAGATTAAAGTCAGAATTCCATTTTTTATTTTTCAGTGGCCCTAATCCTCTTCCGCAGTTTCCATCTCACTTGAGAGAGGACAAATATAAAAGGAGATAAAACTAAAAACACGTAACTGGGTTTTTTCCTTCTCCCCTTCTTGTGACAGAAACTACAAGCACGTCACATTTTGTCAGTTTTATTCAGATGAGGAAATGAAATCCGCAGAGGAACAATAACAACAAATGTAGCCTTTTTTTATTTTTTATTTTTCAATGCGCACGAGGCAGCTGTGACCTGGGGGTTCGGTTCGGGAGCTCTGAGGACCGTCACACCTGCGCACGCGGGCGGATTTTTACTGGCACGGGTTGGCAAGAGTCAAAACTGCTTTAAAGAACACAACGCGGGATCAACAACCCAAACCATCCTTGAAAAACTGAGATAAAAAATTTGAGGAAAACATAACGAGTCTAACACTATGATTATTAGTATTTTTGAAGTTGTTTTTTATTGTCTTTCAGCCTACTCAATCGCAGACAGGATGCGGCGGTTTAATTGTATAGGCCTATATATAAAATAAAATAAATACATCTAGTATAAAAATGTTACCAAAATAACCCAAGAGCAGCAGCCTTTAAACTGTTTATTATATCCACATGTTGTGTTTTTATCACCAGTGTTGGACGTGAGGAATCTTTACGTGAAGGTGTTCAGTGAYACAACACCTTTATGCTCCATCTTTATAAAGCCACACATTTTTAGGCGATGTCACGTGGGAGGTGGGGCTCATTACTATTTAAACTCAGCACGTCTGAACAGCAGCTGACACTTTGAAAAGATGTTACGAGCTTCCAGAATGGGTAAGATGATGAAACTTTTCTACTACTCATTTTTTTTAAATCACACAGGACTTCTTTAACGTGCTGTTTCCTCTCAGTCTGGATGCTGTGCTTCCTCGCTTTGTTTTGTGGTAAGTAGAATTAAAATTGTAATTTAATCTTTGTTTATTATTTTAATTATACCTCTAATCATTTGGAGATGAGCCAGCTGTGTGTGGATGGTGGATTTTTTTTTATATTTTCCCTTTTTTTTTTTACGAGTGTCTGTATTTGTGTTTGAGTCTTACCAGACTTTTCACGTTTCATGTGTTTCAGGGAAATTAATATTTATTATTTAATTGATCAACTGTTGCATCAGAGCTGAAAGTATAAAGCTGCAATATAATTTAAGTGCACGTGCACGTGGTTATTAAAGCTGGATCAGTTTAAGTGAAATGAATGACCCGAGCGTCAGTTCCATCAGCCATAACATTATGACCACCTGCGCGTCTCGCCACCAGAACACCTCAGTCTGCGCATCAGCCCACAAGGTTTTATCAGTTAGTTTTCTCCTGTTGTTGGCTTTATTCACTGTTTTTAACAACCTTAAAGAGACGGATGTGTTGATATTTTTGACCGGTTTTGTTTTTGTGTTTGCACTCTATGAGAAATMGCTTTTTGTTGTTGTTGCGCCTTCAGCACGTTTCAGCTGAACCCGCAGAAACTCACAGGGATCACTATTTTTATTTTTATTTATTTATTTTACAGAAGCGGATGGAGCAGYTTCTACTGGCGTCGGGAATTCCGGGTGAGTCTCCTCCTATCACCCCCCCCCCCCCCCACACACACACACACATTACATCACCCGGTTAACAGTTCATGTCAACAATAATTCAGCAGCYTCACTTTATTCCCAAAATGAGACGCACTGTGCGCGTCCTGCGCGCACGTGCAGGGAGCTTTCACTTTCACCCACGCGCAAAACCCTTCGCTGCAGAGCACGAGACACAACTCCCGTTGCGTCATTCCCTCTGGAACGCCGCGCGCTGAAAGACACACACTCAAACCAGCAGCGAGCATCGCCTCAGGGCGCAGTAAAAGGATAACCCGGCCATTTTAAAAGTTGTGTTGCGTGTTAAAATTTACACCGGAAAACTCACGTGATTTGTTAAGGCTTGCGGTGGGGATGACTCTCATCTACTAGCACATTTTAAACCAAATGTCTTACACGCGGTGGTAGGATATCTATTATTAATAAAGTACATTTAAAAGTTCGACACTAGGGAAGGTTTTTTGCTGTTTGTATTGTGATTTTACTATTGTTTGGACAGAAAACACAGGATGTGCAGGATTATGCTGTATATGTTAGGCAGTCAGATTCATTTCTAGGTTAGGTTTTATATTATTAAAAGGCATGTTGTGTATTTTTCAGGCACATCGTTCAATTCTGTGTTACTGTAAGAGTTACAAAGGAAGTTATTATATTTTGGGCTGATTAATATAAAAGAAATGTGGTTGTTTATATCTGGAGTGATCCATCCACCACAGAACGAACCCTCACGTTACATTACCATCAGTTGTTATGTACATATCAAAACTAAATTTGACTTTGCGTCATCTTGAAATTMGCCTCTGTCTCTCTAAGAACCTCCTACCATTGCTGACACTTCATGTTGTCCATGGGCGAGGAGCTAGGTACAAATAGGCAGCAAGTGTTTAGGTAGCTCCACATGGTTACAACAGGAGATTCAAGGATTTCTCAAACATGCATGAATGATTCAAAGCAGCATTTTGAGTGTGTGTTTGATATAAAGCTAAAAAAAGTTGATTTTGCATACCCCCCCACCCCAACATTTTTATACTAAACTACACATAGCCTAGCAGATGTACAACAGAACTTCAATCTTCTAAGGTCCTTAATACTGGAAACCCCTGGACTCTTCACTTAAAAGGTCTACATTTTGAACCCCCCCAATAAATAAATAAATAAATAAATAAATAAATAAATAAATAAATAAATAAATAAATAAATAAATA